CCTCTTCTTTTCTTCTAGTTCATCCCCAACAATCAGCAAATCCTCAGTTCCATCCTTTACAAAAGCAAGATGACCCGTTCTCATCTAGCCTACTGCAATGGTCTGACTCACTTCCTTTTCCGCTCTTGCGCCTCCAAAAGCTGATCTTAGCACAGGGTTCAGGTAATCTTACTGAAACATTAAGACTCTACGGTGACCTTCGCCTGCCTCGAACCCTCCTTTCCTTTACACTGTCTGTTTCACAGCCCACAGGTCCTAACTCATCTGGCCCTACACTATTTCTCTGCCTTCCACCCCTTCTACTCTTCTTCTGGGCCCACTTACCGCAGCAACACCAACCTCTTTCCTGGCTCTTCAACATGCCCAGCATGCTCTTTCTTCCCTGGTGGTCTTTGCATTTCCCTTGCGTGGAATGTTCTTCCTCTAGATAGTTTCACGGCTCACTCTGTCACCCACATTTCTGCTCAGTCGTCACCATCCTGGCTAAAACAACACATGCACCCACTTTCTAACTACGTCTGTGCTTTTTGCTTAAAACTCTGCTGTGTCAGGCTTTGCTCTCACTTGAATGTCAGGCTCACAGGACAGTGTCCCTGTGTGTCTTTCACATTCCTAAGGGATGGAATAAAGCCTGACATTTAGTAGATGCACAATTCTTATTTGTCAAATGAATGAATGAGCAATGATTTTTATTAGTAAGTTTTCTATCACTGTAACAAAATACCTGAGACAGCTGGTTTTATCAGAGAAGAGGTTTATTTAGCTCAGTGATAGAGGTTCAGTGGCATGTCACCTGCATCAGAATCAGTTCTGGTGAAGACTTCAAAGAGAATGGCAGATGGCTCAGTATGTTAGGAAGAAGGGTCACATGATAGGCCAAGAAGCAGAGAGAGCTGGGATCCAGCATTCTCATACAATCTTATTTGTCCCTCAAATTGCTGGTATCTAGCAGTCTAATGGAACCACTTTTGAGGGTCAACCCCCAATGACATAAGGATATGTCATTAAGCTTCACCTCTTATAGGTTCATGCCATCTTCTAGTACCACCACCCTGGGGACAAAATTGTCTACACATTTGCCTTTGGACAGACACAAACTGTACCCACACCATAGCACTACTAACTTATGCAAAACTTCACAGTTTACAAAGTAATCACATAAACAGTATCTTCAAGTCTCTCACAAATTGTGGGACAGGTTTTGCTATCCCCATTTTACAGAGAAGCTAACAGTCTGCTAAATACATTTTAAGTCTCTTGCTCAAGGTCATGCAGCTACTGGATATAAAGATCAAGCCTCGGTGTTTTGCTTTCAAGGCCAGCTTATTAATCACAATCATAAAGTACTATTAACAACCTATAAGTATCACTCTAGTCACTGCACAGGTAGTATCTCATTTAACATTCACACCAATGCTTTGACATAGGTGCTATTTTGCAAATGAGGAAATTAAGGCACTGCTAAATTAAGATACCCAAGGTCTCAGTGGTAATAAGTGGTAAGGGCAGATTCTGGGTGCAAGCACCCAGATTCCAGGGATGTAATCTACCACTGAGCCTCACCTCTGAAATGCCAGCTGAAGGACACAAATGATCAGGTGTCAAGCACATTCTGCTATTATTTTATTTCATGCTTTCATTATATTTTGCAGAACTTTCTTCTGTCTCTTTAAAACAAGCAAGTGAAAAGCAAGTTGTAATGGTTGACACATTGTGTCAATTGGAGAAGTTTAGAAGATTCAGCGGGAGGCCAAGGTCCTTACTTTGTAAACATCTTCATTCTGTACAAGAGGAGGGCAGGGGCATAGTGTAAGTGCTACATTTGCCCTGGGGCCATAGCCTGTTTATCAGACAAGGGAGGAAGAGGCTTGCTTCTCCCCTGCTTTTGCTCTTGTTGCTTTTACTGTCCTTTGCTTGTCGAACTGTTCCCCTCTGACATACCACCCTGCCTTGGAGCCAGCTGATTACAGACTGAAACCTCCACAAACTGTGAGCTAAATAAACCTTTCCTTCCTTAATTTTGAGTGTTGGGTATTTTGTCTGAGCAAGGAGAGAAAAGTAACAAACACACAAGTGTATCTTAAAGTCAGTTTATACTGTGTTGTTTTCTGCTTTCCATCCATCTGTGAGATGTGTGAAGAGTTTATTTCTGACTAGATGTCACAGAGGATTCAAGGAGGGCTTGGGGGACTGCCAGCAGTCCGCCCTTCTTCCTCCTTTGGTGGCTTTGTGCTCTCTCTCTCTCTGCATGTGCAGGCCAGTCTCCCTCTGAGGGATGGATTCCACTTACTTCCTCATCATCCCACCACAGGTTTTGTTTCATAAATTCTCACTTCATTTTATCACATAACCTACATCGTGGAACACTCAATTTCTTTTCCATTCCATTCCCTTTCTTTTTTTTTTTTTTTTTTTTTCAAAAACAGGAATCTGTTCCATTGGATGTGATAGCACGAGGCAGAAATGTGGCAAAATTTTAAATGGTGAGAAATCTATCTCAGCTACCTGCGTTTGGAGAAGCAAATTGTGATTCCTCGACTCACTTTGTATTGAGCTGTGCAAGTTAGATGAACTGAAAGTGCTTCATTGACTTGTCTACCTGTCTGCTTGTCTCCAAGCCAGTCAGGAATTTGTGAATGCTACCTATTTTCTGCTCTTTCTGGCTATCCAAATGACTGACCTAAAGGTGTGCATGAACTTATGTAAATAATAGACGGATACCTTTGAATTCTCAAACCCCTCAGATTTTAAATAAGCAGGCAGTCAAAAGTGGGAAAACAAATCAAGCCTGTTGATTGTTCTTGGTTCTTTGGAGCATAAATGTTCATACCATTTATCTGGGAAGAGACTGGGAGCTCCTTGTAGGTCTAGTGACATGGGTATTCCCAAAGCATGGATAGCCACTCAGCAGAGTAGGCGATTAATACAGTAGGTACTCGATAAATATTGGTTGAACATATAACACTGTCATTTATTGACTATTCACGGACGTTGTTTCAATACACACACATGCATTAGGTTCTGTGCCTTTACAGGAAAATGTCATTTATTCATCTCTGTGTCTAATACAGCACCACCCAATAATGGACAATCATTAAAGGATCAAATTGAATTAATTTATGTCCCTTGTTTTACCTACCCTCCCCAAGCCAGGTGCCTGAAATAGTCCCATTAATCAAATCAAAATAATTGAAAGCCAGACACCTTGAAGTCATTCACATGAAGCTCAGAATTAAATATTTACATTTACCCTGGCCATCTCCTACGTACATTTTGCAACTACTGTAGCTCACTATTCTCCCAGGAGGGAAAAAAGCATACGCTTAATGAATTTGCTCAGACATAGCATGTAGCAGATGTCCAACATGCTGCCACGAGTTTGAGTCATAAATATGACGGCTCTGTTTGGGACGGCAGAATATATTAGAAGGGCTTTATCGGTCACCGGGCAACTTGCTAGATAGAGGGAAAACAATTCAGGAAAATGCAAGAGCTGCCTCTAGTAGCATCTCAAAAAGAGCCCTGGAGAAATACAGATAATCTGCTTGCAATGATTCATCAAGTTGGTCCTTTGTTTCATTAATTCGAGTGTCAAGAGCAACCACACAATAAAGAATTGTCAAGACCCGATAAGATTCTCCTCTGGCTGCTGCTTTTCCTGCCCTAACAACTGGTTCTATTCATGCCTAAAGCACAAATTGAATAAATAGCTTCAGGGCTGGCAGTGTTGGACAGTGTTTCCAATTTTTTGCTTTTCCTTGAAAGGCTGAATCACATGGGTTTCTTGCCCTCTCCGGAAAGCCTTGAACTGATATTCATTACTGAACCAATCATTTTAACTTTCTTAATACGAAGTACGGAAGGACGCTTCATAAGTTAAAAATAGTTCCTGTTGCATTGCCAGTCCAGCAGTAGATTAGTGAAGATTAAAAAAGAATTGTAATGCCTTTTTTGGCCTTGAGAAAGCTCTTATTGTGCCCATGGTTCAGTTGTCTTGTTGATCGTTTCCATCTTAATGTAATCTGCAACATCGCACCGCTATAGGTGAAGAGGTAATCCATTAAGACAACTATTTTCACTGAGCGATTGCACAAGAAATATGTTTGTAGCTAAATTAGACATTTAACAAATGCCATTTGTAATTAAATGCATGCGAGAGAGTACCCTTCAAATAGGCTATTGCTGTGCATACAATGGACAATGGACAGCAATTATGTTTTTAGTTTCAATCAAAGTTCTGAATGTGAAACTGTACCTTCAGGGCGGTAGACTAACATAAAGAAAGCCCTGAAGACCTTAGGGTGCTTATGAAATAAGCCACGAGCAGTTTTATCTATAGTAGCCACAAACTTTTCATTGAAATTAGAAAGACTGAGTCCAGGTGAGTCCCATGGCTGTGATATGCTGAATGTTTTCAGAAATTCTAAAATCCTTTAGCTGAACCCTGGGAACCTCAAAGGTCAAGTAGAAATACAAATGTCATCTCTCAAGCAAATGAATTAATAAATTTAAATGAAATATTCTGATCTAAAGATTGCGTGACAATAGCTGAATTTGAAAAAAGGTAAATTAAGGGGAAGAGGAAAAAAGGAAGTTCCAACTCCAAAACTACAATGATGCAATTTTTTAGGAGAAATAATTTCATGATAGATTTCTCCAGGCTATGAACATCAGTGCCACATCTCTAAGTAGGTATATTGACGTTTGGGAGGTTGACCTGTTTTTATCAAAAATCACGACCCAGAAATCTTAGTTTCCAGATAATCAAATGGCCATCACTGGCAGGATCCAGCTGGGCTGTCCTTCCTTTTTGCAGGATGGCTTCAGAAAAGATTGAAAAAACAGCTCGAACCCTGAAGTGGGTCCACCGGCACGGTGAACCCTCTCGCCCCAGAAATTTCACTCTAGCAAACGGATTATTATTTGGGGGCGGGGAGGGGGATGCAGAGGTCTTTAGGACCCAGCAGGCGGCGGCAGGCGGCAGCGGTGTAGATCGCTGAGAGACTACTAGGGTCCGGTTCAGTTTTAATTCTGTCTCTAATCTCTGCTACAGCGGAGCTTCCCGGGTCCCGCGGCTCCCGCGCCCGCTGCGCCCAGGCCAGCGACCTGGCGACGGTCAGAGCCATATCTGCCCCCTCTCCCACCATGGAAACCCTGCGAGAAAAAGTAGCCCCGGAAGCGCGTGCCTGAGGATTCCGCACAAAAGAGGTGCCCAAAATGAAGACCCTGGTGGTGAGTCAGTTGGTGCAACTCCGCCGGGCACAGACGAGGACCTCCGGGCTCAGCGGCCCCGGGGCGCACAGGGGAGCCCCGGGGGTGCCTTACCCTGAGCCGCGAGGTCGCCCGCTACAAAGGGACAACTTTTCACCTGCGTCGCGTCCCCTAGCGATTCCCGGCTCTGCTTGGCTCGGAATCCGGGATGGCGTTCGGGTTGCCTAGGCTCTTGGATCTCCAGCGAGGGGTCCAGGGGACCGGCGGACAGGTAGAGGAGCGGGCAGACTGCTTGGGGGAAGGGGGCGCCCCAAAGCAACAGCCTGGGTAACTGGGAGGGGCGTGGGGACACCTCTGCAGACTTTCTGGGTTTCCTTGTTGCATTGCAAACTTGCGAGGCTCGCCAGGCTAGAGCCCCAGGGGCCAGCCGAGAGGGCGTGCGAGTGCTGCGCTTCCAGCTGCGCGGCTGGGCAGAGGCCCCCTCCCCAGGTGCGCGCCCACCCCTGCCCTCGGCGGGGCGCCCTCGCCAGTCCCCCGCGCCCGGGCACCGCGCGCCCCCTACCCTCTCCAGCTCGATCCGGGCTGCAGCGGCGGCCGAGCGCAGCGCGGTGCGGGGAGCCTCTCCTGCCGGACGAGCGGGACCCACCGAGCCACCCTCGCCGGGGACCTCGGCGCCGCGCCCGTGTCCCCGCGGCTGCCGGGCGCGCTGCTCCGCGTCCAGCTCAGCCGCTCTCTTTGCTCTCTCCCGCCCGCCCGCAGCGCCATGGTCTGGCAGTGTGTTTAGCGCTCACCACCATGTGCACCAGCTTGTTGCTCGTCTACAGCAGCCTCGGCGGCCAGAAGGAGCGGCCCGCGCCACCGCAAGCCCCGGCGCCGGCGACCGGCAGCGCGCAGCCCGCGGCGGACAGCAGCCCCCAGCCGCGACCCGCACCGCGGCCGCTGGACGGGTACCTCGGCGTGGCCGACCACCAGGTGACAGCCCGGGCCCCGCGCACCTGCGCCTTCCCCCTTTGCCGGGCCGGGAGCGCGTGAGTAGAGCCGCGCGCCGGCTGGAAGGGAGCGTGCACCGGCTGGGGTCGGGGATGGGGATGGGAAAGGGCAGGGATTCCTGCTCCGGAGGGACTCCTATTTGGAGAGGGGTGCAAAGTTTTTAGGGAATAGGCACGAGCTGAGTGGACCCCCAAAGCCCAATTCCCTAATAGCAGGCGGCCCTGAAACTGGAATCCTGCGAGCCCCAGAATTGCCGCTGAAGAAGGTGGAGGTCCGGTTGCTGAAGCCTGGGTTTTAGCAGCCCAGTCGCGCCCTGGAGGCAGGAAAGCAGGGATGGAGCGGGGACCGGCACCGCGGTTCTCCGACCCGAGCGGGAGGGTGAGAAGCCGCCAGCCGGGCCCCGCGCCGCCCCGGCCTCCGGGCTCTGCCTGACGGCTCTGGGCTGAATTCCCTGGGCCCCGGCAGCCAGCGGTGCCCAGGCGGGAGCGGAAGGCTGGAGGCGCAGACTCGGCTTCCATTGGCTTGAAAGCCTGTTTTCCCCTGTCTTCCGGGAAGCAACCGTATGGCGTGGCTAATAATTAATAAGATGAATTTTTAAAAATTGAGTCTTCTTTCCCTAGGAATAATAAATCCCTGCTTTCAGTGTGTGAAGCCTCTGGGAGAATCCTAATCAGGGTTCCTGATTCTGAAGATCTTTTAGTACAGTTTACATGTATCCCTCATTATTTGAAGCTGCTAATACGCTCTTATTAAAACACACTTCCGCTCTGTATCTGCTCCGTGAAGCTAGAGGATTTCTTGAGCTCCCCCAATTCTTTTACTTTTTATGTTACTAAATTTTATGGTTGTAAGTCGAAGTAGTATTTTGCAGATTCTGCTTGTGTGTGAAAAGACCACTCTTCAAATGCATGAAAAAGAGAAACTTTTTAAAAAGTAGCAATCAGAATATTATCACTCACTATGCAGTGCACGATGCTAGGATTCGGGGAGGTACCAAAGAATTTAAGGTAGGACCCAGCTTTTTGGGACCGCTGAACGCCTGGGAGGGAAACAAGATGGCGAAATGGGAATAGATATTTAAACTGATGGATGCAATGTATGGAAAATGCAATTTATAAACAGTGAATATAAGGTGCAGAGAGGAGAGAGAAGACAACCCCAGGGCAGCAAGGAAAGTTTCCTTGAAAAAGTGGAAGCTGTACTGGGAACGTTTGCGGAAACAGAAAGGAGAGGGTGACATATTTAGGGAGTGAACTTGGTGCCAGGGCTGGGGTTGGGGTGGTAGACTCTCACGATGCCAAAACAGACACCTTCAGTTTTTTTTCTTATATCCAGTTGTTGATTGATTACATTGGATCTGCGTGTGCAAGGAACCCATAAGGGTCGAAGTTCTAGGAAAGTTTAGAAATCTGGTTATGGATGGATGTAGTGTTTATGCATAACCGGTGCCTTATGAATACATTGAACTTGTGAATTTCCCTGGCTATTATTTAGTGGAAATGGCTATCTAACACTTGGGAAGCTATGATTAATAGGAGTGTCAAAAGATCAATTTACTGAAAGCTCCAATCTACTTTTGGGAAGATACTCTTAATATATTTCCTTCAAATATTGTGCTGTTGGGTAGACACCAGCTAAGAATATTGATAGTTTAAGACAAGGCGTAATGAACTCAAGTTCATTTTCAAAATAATATTTATTCACACAGATATGTTTGATTCCATTTTCAATGTATTAGTGCCTTGAATAATTAAAATGAGGAAACAGCCCTTCCCTACATTGGAGAAAAGGTTGAAACTTTACATGAAAAATTGAAGTAATCTGCAGTAAAAGAGTTTTATAAACTATGAAGTACTATGTGAATGATAAATATTGTATGAAAGTCCTTGGAATTCTTGTCAGAGGTTCTGCTTTGCAGATATTTACCAACATCAGTGAAGTTCTTCCACAAAAATATCAGCATCTCACAAAATTCCATCCCCGCCTCAAACCAAAGAGCAAATGCAGATCTTAAAATGTATACCTTGTCTCCAGGCAACATCCAATAACCCTGCAGAACTAAACTTCTGTAAACTTGGGATAAAAATGCGCTCTGACCCTCTTTACTGCTGCTGTTTAGCTAGCTGGAAACTGGGCAGTCCGTTTCTGATGGTCATCAAAAGATACGAGGGTGAAACGTTTACATTCTCTCCAAAAGCTGCTATTTAATTAGGTTTTGTTTCAGATCTTGTATAGTCATCCTCAGAGGTAAAAATCATTCGTTAAAATATTGTTAGGAATCCCGCCATTAACACAAAAGAGGTTAAGAAATGAAAGCTTTTCTATTCTTGTTATATTGCCACATGATGCTCAGATTGGTTTTTTCTCTCATATCAGGCCTGAGAAAAATTATAGGGTATGTTCAATGTGATGACCACGAAGCCGTATGCTGCTGCACACTGAATCAAAATTCCAACAGACTTTTTATTTGCCACTGAGTTACAGAATCTGGAGAGAGTTACAGATACTATTTAGGAAACTGTTCACATCTCCATGGTTGGAGGTCCTGAAGACTGCTAAATGTGTAGTGTTTGTGTTCACTTACGTGATGGTATTAACATAACTCCAAGGTTCAATTCAGCAGGTGGTCCTAATCCCCAGCACCTAAATTTCACAAATTACAGCCCTGTGTGCAGTGATGGTCTTGTGTCATACGACTGCAGAGTAAATCCCTGTTGAGGTTAAGTCACTGTGTCTGTTGAAAGATAACACTGCAAGTCAAGTCAGGGATGAGCATTATGTGTTGAAGCTTCAGATATCCTTTCCATGGTCATATTTCACAGTGGACATGAGTTACAGTTGTGATTCCAGTGAGTAAGGTGAAGGCTACTGGGAGCTGCTTAGGATAATAAAGCCATTTCATTTTCTGGTAGATGGTCTTTATCTTCTCCAAGCCCTCTTCCAGATCTCGTCCCACAGATGATCCACCAACTCATTTCCATCCTGGTGCCTACCTGTCCTGCAGCTACTGTATCTGTATTCTGTCCTCACACACCTGGTCCCCATCTTTGAAAGCCATTAATTTCTAATCAGGTTGGCCACACACAAGTGAAGAAACCAATTCTCATGGCTATGGAAAACTTCTGCATTTAGAACTACAGCTTAACATGTGAACCAACTAAAACTCACACACACACGCCGAATCAAGCAACCTTCAGAGGGAACTGGCATGTCCTGCAACAGAGAGGAAAGGGCCATCGAATGCATTTCAGTTTCCAGTCTGATCTGGTGCGAGTAGATAAAGGTGTTTGCCGTCTGGTGGGCCCTGGGAAATAAAACTAAGGAGATTCCCATTTCCAGTGGACAGACCCTTATCTCAGCAGGCCCACTGTCGCCTGGCCTGCCTTTTCCTGGGATGGCTTAAGAACAGACAGTGAGTGAGCGCCCAGCAGCTATCTCCTCACTTCAGAAGTAGCCCCCAGCGATGGATTTTACCCATACCAGTGACATGCTTGTCCTTGGTTCTTTCCTTCCTTAGGCAGTCAGATATTCAGACAAATGCAAGCTGTTTTGTGGTAATAGTACTGTTACTATTAATTTGAAGATGGCCCGTGGAAATCAGCCAAGTCAATGCAAGAAGTGAAAAATAATCCAAAGGCAAAGTAAAGGGAGACTGCATAACTTATTTTGAAATTCCGTTCATCCTTTAGAAAAGGATATACACTCTTACAAGTTTCCACATCATGTTTACTATACTCTATTTGACGATGTCTGAGTAATCCAGTGAATGATAAGTCATTTGGGTCTCAAGGAAATCCAAAGAGAACTCATTTTCAGTCCTCGGGTGCTGTAAAATATAATTGGCCAACGTGATAAAGCCCTGTTAAGAAGAAGTGGCAAGCAAGAGGAAGCCTAAGATGAGCTACTTTTTTGTGGATAAAGAGTTGCAGTCATTCGGTCACTTCTAACAGTGCCTGTGTACTGTGTTCTCCTGGAAAGCTCTTCCCCCGAGGTCTTTTGCGTGGTTTGTCCATTCTGATCGTTCAGTCCTGAGACCACATGTCAATGCATGGATCCGTTCCTTAGTTCCCTGCTTAGTCGTTCTCTGTCTTATTCACCTGGTTTGTTTTACCCTGTAGCGCAGAGCAATATCTGCAACAATCTTCGAGTCTGTCTGTTGTCTGCCTTCCCTCAACTAGAATTTAGATGCTGTGCCGGTGATGTCTGTATCTTGGTGACTAGTTTAGTTCCATGACCTAGAATAATACTTGACACTTAGTGGGTCCACAACAAGTATTTTTTAAAGAGCATGAGGTTGGAGAGAAGTACAGAGCTACTGTACCTTGTGTCAAGTTCCTTCTCCACAAAAAATATCAGTGCAATTCCAAGGCCCTATGATGTCTTACTTTTCCTAAAATTGTTTTGCCAAAGAAGAGCATCAATAATCATAATGAAGAGGAGGAAGGAATGGTTGAAAACCTTAGAATATTTGGGGCTGAAACATGGAATCTCCATTTCCACAAGCTTGCCATCACTCTTATTTTATTTATTTATTTATTTATTTTTGGTTTTTCTCCGGTACCGGGAACCGAACTCATGACCTTGCACTTGCCAGGCAGGCGCTCTGCCGCTAAGCTAAATCCCCATCCCCTTGCTTTTATTTATTTATTTATTTATTTTGTTTTTGTTTTTTTGCCATCACTCTTGAGTGCATTAAAATTTGAGAATCATTGAAATTTTTTGGTATTCAGAACCAGTGTTTCTACAGCTAATTCATTTGGAAGGTTTTGAACCCACCAAAGGCCTAACAGTTTCAAAATTGGGAGATTCTGGAGAAAGAACACAGTCCCTATCCTCAGACTTTGATCTAATTACAGCGAAAAGACAAAGCAAGAAAAGTGAAATAACAAAACAAGTGCTGAATAATAAGAGACCCAGAAACAATAAATCAAGGCACCGACACTAAAAAGGAGACCATTTCTATGATCTTTCTCCAAGTATGA